CCAGCCTGCATTGCTTTGGCCAGGCTGATCCCATCCTGGCATGCGTGCTTGCGCACAGGAGGTGGCGTGTGCACATGTGCACACGCATGCCCCATCCCATCCTGGCATTTGCACATGTGCCTGCCTCCTGTACACATGCGCGCCTGCTGGGATGCGATGGGCTAGGCCAAAGCAAAGCAGTCCAACCCCTTACCATTTCCAGGTTGGCCGTGCTGGCCGATCCGACCACATGCGGTCCACAGGGCTTGAGTTTGACACCTCTGCTGTAACTGTTCTTCATATATTTTAGCCTCCAGTTCCCTAATCATCATCTCTGCACTCTTTCTAGAGTCTCAACATCTTTTTTATAGTGTGGTGACCAAAACTGGATGCAGAATTCTAGGTATAGTCTTACTAAGGCTTTATAGAGTCGTATTAGTACCTCAAGTGATCTTGATTGAATCCCCGTTAATGGAACTTAGGATTGCATTGGCTTTTTTGGCTGTCACTGTACACTGTTGGCTCATATTTAATTGGTTGTCCACTAAGACTCCAAGATCCCTCTTACAGTTATTGCTATTAAGCCTGGTTTCTCCCAATCTGTATTTTCAGTTTTTCTTTCAGTTTTTTCTTCAGTACTTTCAGTTTTTCTTGCCTAAATGTAAAATTTTACTTTTCTCTACATTGAATTTCATTTTGTTAGTTAGGGCACAGTTTTCAGATCTGTCAAAATCCACCTGGATGTTAAACTTATCATCTAGGGTGTTGGCTATTCCTGCCAACTTAGTATCGTCTGCAAATTAGATAAGTTCCCCTCCTATTCTCTTATCTTAGTCATTTATGAAGATATTAAAGAGTAATGGGCATAAGACGGAACCTTGTGGTACCGCACTGCTTATTTCCCTCCATGTAGATGTAATACTGTTAAGGACTACCCATTGAATACGGTTTGTGAGCCAGTTATAAATCCATCTGATGGCGATGCTATCTATCCCACTTTTTTCTAGCTTACCAAGAAGTAGGTTGTGGTATCTCTTGTCAAATGCCTTGCTGAAATCTAAGTATGCTACTTCCACAGCATTTCGCTGGTCTACTAATTCACTATGTCAAAGAATGAAATAGAATTGGTTTAGCATGATCTGTTTTTAACAAACATGTGCTGATTTCTAGTTATTACTTTACTCATTTCTAGATCTTCACAGATCTGTTTTTTGATTATCTTTTCCTGTATCTTCCTGGGTATTGATGTTAGGCCAATTCAGGGGTGTCAAACTCAAGGTCTGGGAGCCGGAGCCAGTCTGTGGAGTGCTTAGATCTGGCCCACAGGGCTGCCTGGAAATAGTGAAGGATCAGCCTGTGGTGCCTGTGCCAGCAAAAACGGAACTCCCGAAAGCTGCATACAGTCCTCCAGAGCTCTGTTTTCACTGGCAGAGGGTTGCAAGGAACCGTCCCAGCTGAAAATGGAACTTGCAAGGGCCATGTGTGGCCCCACAAACTTCATTTTCGCTTGCTGACGGTTACAGGAGGCCGTCCCAGCCGAAAAAGGAGCTCGGGAGCCTGTTTCCGCTGGCAGAGCACTCAGGCCACCACAGATGCCCCCCAACACAAGTTGATGTCATGCTGACCACACCTACCATGGCCACACCCACTCTGGGCTCCTGAGGTCAAACACAAACATGATGCAGCCTTCAAATCGAGTTTGACTCCCCTGGGCTAATTGGTCTGTAGTTTCCTGAGACTGTTTTTTCCCCCCTTTTTTGAAGATGGGAACCATATCAGTTCTTTTCCAGTCCTCTGGTAGTTCCCCGATGCTCCAGGGTTTTTGAAATATATAGTACAGTGGTTCTGAGATGACATCTGCCAATTCCTTTAGAACTCTGGAAGGTAATCAGTCAGATCCCAGTGATTTATATTCATCAAGATTAGGCAGGTGTTCTCTTACCATTTTTTTGCTTACTTTAATTTTTATTTCTAAGCTGTCTTTTGCAGTTATGTTTTTGGTAGGTTGGGCTATAGTTTCTTTTTGCGGGAAGACCAATGCAAAGAATGAGTTAAGCAGCTCTGCTTTCTCTCTGCTGCCTGTTATTTCCTTGTCATCTCTCTCTTTAGTGGACAGACTTGTTTCCTTGATTTTTTTCTTATTTTGTATATGTTGGAAGAAACTTTTTTTATTATCTTTGACTTTTGTTACAAGCCTTGGTTCATTCTGAACCTTTGCTTTCCTGACTTTGTCATTGCAGATTTTATCTATCTGCTGATATTCTGTCTTAGTTATTTGTCCCTCTTTCCATTTTTTGTACTTGTCCTTTTTGTCTTTCAATTTCTCAGATAGATCTTTGTGCAGCCATGCTGGTTTCTTCTTAGATTTCTTGTTTTGCTTTTTCAGTGGTACTGTGCTGGACTGGGCTTTTATGATCATATTTTTCAGAGTTTCCCAAGCTTCTTGAATTGTTTTCCATCTTTAAGATTTTCATCCAAGGAATCTTTCTCAAGTTTGCTCTGAGTTTTTTAAAATCAGCTCTTTTAAAATATAAGACTCTGGTATCACTGTGTTCTGTTGCTTGTGTTTGCATTATTTTGAATTTCCATATGACATGGTCACTCTCACCCAGGATTCCTGCAGTTTCAACTCTATCACTTCTTCTCTATTCATGAGAATTAAGTCCAGTATGGCTGTCCCTCTAGCTCCCTTCTCTACCTTTTGGACCAAGTCTGAGGTGAAATCAGAATGAAGGAAGAAGTGGAGTGCACAAATCCATAAGAGTGCACCTGATGATCAAACTATGATTTAATAAATGTTTCCATATTTGAAAAACTACAAAAATGTTTTGTGTAGAGAATTGACATCTAACAGGACAGCAAGACAGAAAAAACGTACCATTGTAGGTTGAATGCAGAATTAAAAAAATTAATGAAGATAATCAAATGGATTTGAGAAACAAATAAAAGAAAAAAGATTAAAATTAAAATCAAGCTAACAGTATCAATAATAACAATAATGATAACAATGACAACAACCATACATGGAGCAAATATGTGCTTTCCAGCATCTAATAAAATAAACATTTGATTATTTCATCATATATAAAACGTAGGGGACCTAGATCAGGGGTGTTAAACTTGATTTCATTGAGGGCTGCATCAGGGTTGTGTTTGTCCTCAGAAGGCTGGGGGTTGTGTGGGACATGGCCAGGAGTGAGTATGGCCATGGTGGCCAACTGCTAAGGCAGGACTTTCCTGAGACTCTCCCTCACTCTCATTATAATCTTCCTTCCTTCCTTCCTTCCTTCCTTCCTTCCTTCCTTCCTTCCTTCCTTCCTTCCTTCCTTCCTTCTTTTTCCTTCCCTCGTCATTCTTCCCCTCTTTCCTTATTTTTCCTTCCTTGCTTCCTTCCCCTCTTTCCTTATTTTTCCTTCTTTGCTCTCTTCCCATCTTTCCTTCTTTTTCTTTGCCTTTTCTCCTTTCTGGTCCCTTCTTGCATACTCAAATGCAAAAGGGGAAACATTTCTCTTTTTGTTTTGTTTTTAGTTTGTTTTGATAGCCCTCTGCCAGCAAAAATGGAACCCGGGGGGCTGCATGTGGCTCCCCGGGTCTGGTTTTTGGCCTGGATGACCTCCTGTAGCCCTCTGCCTACAAAAATGGAGCCCAGGGGACACGTGTGGTTCCCCCTGAGCTCTGTTTTTGCTGGCAGACACTGTGGGATGGTCCTTTGCTGTTTACATGCTGGCCCCGCAGGCCACATCTAAGCACCCCACAGACTGGATCCTTGATTTTGACACCCTGACCTAGATGAACAAACTAAACTCAAAATTGGCGGGTGGGGGGGACCATTTCTTTTTTTAGTCTCCAAATCTCATATTTTCTCATGCTTCTCATCTTGGAACTATCGGTTTGAAGCAACAGTATTGAATTTTTCCTAGCATGAGGAATGAAGACTAGAACTAATTAAAGCTAATTATGTACAAAAATTGCCTACATGGCAGGATGAAGCAGACAAATCTAACCCTCACAGATATCTGTCCATAAATTATATATCATTGAACCATGAAGAAAATCTAAAGTTGCTGTATTCTTGTTAAAGAGTTGGCTTTCTTTTTTGACCATATCTAATCATGCTTCCATTAACAAGTCCCTTTGAGGATTTATAATTTTGGCTACAGCATTTTTGCTTTTTATTATGTAAGTTATTTAAAACAACAATTGCCAGTTCTATAAAATAATCGAAGTGACTTATTTGCCATGATGCTGTTAGGTTTTCAGAAGCAGCTATTTCATCCTGAATAACTCAGTTGTCCATACTTTATATTTGTAGCATTTACTATAGATGTATAATGGAACTTCACTGTTGTAGATCGGCTTCCCAGGAATCAATTTTTTAAATTATCTGTTATTTAAAAAATGTATTCAGTTTTAGCCTTTTCCTTATCATAAAATGTGGAGTCATTTACAGAAATATCTATGTTATTGTTTTCCATACATTTTTTTTTTAATTTTGAGAATAGACATACTGAAGATTTCCTTGTTTGACAAATTAATTTAGCTGCAGTGCACTAGTGCAAGGAACATATTGCAACATGATTATGGCCTGTTTTCTGGCTTTATTAATCCAGAAACCTAAATGATAAACAACACTTGTGTCATTGTCTACACAAATGTAATTTGTTTATGCAGAAGTTCAGTTAATCCTACCATCTGCTTTTCTCAAATGAGAACAGATAATGGAGACACAGCTCCTCACAGGTCTTCAGGCTTTTAAATTCTGATAAAATCAGGATTCTTCACTGGCTCTTGCCACAGCTCTGAATTAAGCCACTTTAAATGTAATTACTGAAGCTGGCTGTACATCAGGAACATCCATTAAAAAAATTGATTGACCATGCTGTTATGGCAGGCATTTTATGAACAAACTATCATGATGGGTCCAGAACTGTAATTTATGAAAGCAAAAAAGCAGGTAAACACTTTATTAGCCATTAATGAGAGGCACACTGGGTAACTAAATTTTGTCTTTTTTTAACCAGCTACTTTAAGGAACCTTGGGCCTTGGCCATCTATCATGATCGTTTTAGTGATCTGAAGAAGGAACTACGTCAGATCTTAGTATCTGCCCAGGTAAAAAAAAATCTCTCCTATATGCATTTAATATAAGCATTTATTATTGCTGATTATTTGCTTTCATATTTCAACAAATAGGAAGTTTGAAGTTTCTTCTTTACTCTTAAACTATAAAAATCCAGAATATTATCAGAGAAGGTTGGTCTAATAGTTAAGGCACCAAGGGAAAAAGCAAGAGACTGTGAGTTCTAGCCATGATAGCCAGTCATTGTGTTTCAGCCCAATTCGCTTCACTGGGTTGTTGTTGTGGGGAAAATAGGAGGAGGAAGGTTTTGGATATTTCTGCCACTTTGAGTTATTTGTTAAAATAATAAAGGTGGTATACAAGCAAACAAACAAACAAATAATTATGAACTTTAGGAAAAGTTTTATACACAGTTCATATCAATTTCAGTGCCCTGGTGTTTCTGTTACTATACGTGCATTGCATTCTCTTAAATGGATTAATTGCTTTAATTTTCTTAAGAGTAATTACTTAAGAACATAAGAGTCCTACAGGATCAGTTCAACAGTTTATTAATGCAAAGTCCTGTTTCCATAGTTGGCACCTAGAAAGCCCATAGCCAAGCTGTGAAGGTAATTGTTAATAGGGCTGTGTTAAGCATTCAAATGAGGTACTTCTCCACGTATGGCAGAAAGAAGGAAACGGGAAACACCTCTTATTAACTCACAAAAGTAGGGTCTCATAGCCATAACTTGGAAGGCTGCTCCCGCGTGCCTATCACCTGTATGACTGTGCATAGTTATACCTGCTTTTCAGCAACTACTGAGTATATTTGATATATGCTTCCCAGATTCACTTGTACAGCTATAGAAATAAAATAAAATTCACTGAATTTTACCAGATGTAGAGTTACTTTGCTTACAAATATTTCACTTCCTGACTAGGTAATATCATCAGCACTTGTAAATGTGGAGTTTGTTGCCTGTTTATATACAGTAGCTTGCCCTACCAGCGTTGGTGGGGATGCTGTTTTCTCCTTGGTAGTTCCTTGATTATTGATTACCCTTCCCCTTGGTCCCTGCAGGCCTTTTCTTCCCCATGCCAGGTCCCCTCAGGCCTTTTCACCCTACTTGATCCTCACAGGGTTTGGGCCTCCATCCCACCCTCATTACCTTTAGTGCACTTACCTTTTGAAGATCTCTGGAGCTCCAGAGCTTTCTGCAGCGCTACATAAAGCGGTTTAGGAAAACAGAATGGAGCAGCCCATCCCAGAAGTGGCCACCATTTCAGCGTAACCACCAGTAATTGTGGGGACACTAAAAACGGTGGCCCGGGGAAAGTGGCCTGCCCTCCTTTCCCTATATGAGGTTTTGAGATCTTCAAAAGATAAGTGTGCAATGGTGATGGGAGGTGGGGAGCAGGCCTGGTAAGTTGGGATGGGGGTGAGAGAGATGGGGGTGCTGCAACGTGCCTGCAGTTAGTTATAAGGGCAAATGACCACTGAGGCAGTGCAGCAGCTGTAACTTCAAAACAGTATCGTAAGTAGTTTTTGTGGGGTCTGGTTCTTAAGAGAGATAATCTGTGCTTGTTTATACAAAGTCTACATCTACAGGCCATATAGTTATAAGTGGCAGGTGCAATCAAATCTTCAATCTATTGAATAAATGGAATAAATGGAAAATAAATGAATTTATTTTCCCAGTACTGCAATATTAATTGCTTTAATTTTCTTAAGAGTAATTACTTAAGAACATAAGAGTCCTACAGGATCAGTTGAACAGTTTATTAATGCAAAGTCCTGTTTCCATAGTTGGCACCTAGAAAGCCCATAGCCAAGCTGTGAAGGTAATTGTTTATAGGGCTGTGTTAAGCATTCAAATGAGGTACTTCTCCACGTATGGCAGCAAGAAGGAAACGGGAAACACCTCTTATTAACTCACAAAAGTAGGGTCTCATAGCCATAACTTGGAAGGCTGCTCCCACATGCCTATGACCTGTATGACTGTGCATAGTTATAAGGGCAAATGACCACTGAGGCAGTGCAGCAGCTGTAATTTCAAAACAGTATCATAAGTAGTTTTTGTGGGGTCTGGTACTTAAGAGAGATAATCTGTGCTTGTTTATACAAAGTCTACATCTACAGACCATACACTTTATAAGTAGCAGGTGCAATCAAATCTTCAATCTATTGAATAAATGGAATAAATGGAAAAGTCTTTTAGTTGTATAAGAAACCCTAACCCTAACCCATAAAGTCAACATGGCATGAGAAAAAGGGTCAAATGTTTTTATTACACATTCATAGCATTCTAACTGACATAATTGTTTTCAGAGATACTAGATTTTTAGTATATTTAGATGCTAATACTGTCCATCCAAGCAAAGGTTTTAATATATGAATGTTCCAAAGTTGTCCCAGTTGGAAAATTAACACTGATTATTGACTTCCAATATTTAATACAACAGGTAAGTATGATAATATAGCTCCAGATTTGGAAAGGTGAACTCTCCTTCATTAACAGGTAACTGCATTTTCTATAAAGTTATTCTCTGAAATGAAAAACTCATAAAATTTTTCTAAACAGAAAATATAATTTCTAAAAATGTTTTCCAGATATATGAACTGGAATTCCTCTCAGAATATGATTTAATCTGAGAATAATATTTATTTTGACAGCATTCACCTTTTCCCAGAAAGGGTTAGGTTAAGGTTTAATTACTTCTTTCGATCAATTTCTGAAGAAACCTCTCTATATATTTTATTTATATTACATGTTATTTTCTTTAGTATACACATACCAAGATAATTAATGGAAATGGTAAAAAGGCAGAATTAATATTCCTTAAATGGATGGGTAGCTTAACTTATTGGCATTAATTCTGATTTGGACCAAATATTAGAGCAATCTGTTATTTTGCTAAAGGCATCTATCTTTTGCATCAACACTGGGATAGTAGAATGAGGTTTAGAAAATGGGTGTTGCAGATGTAAGAGAAAGAAAAAAATGCAATTCAGTTTTTGCCTTCTTTAATTAATCATGATTTTTAAAAAGAGGAGGCAATAGAAAATCATAGATACAGATGAAAATAACTGATACCTGGACCACTCTCCATGAAAGTTCTAATTTCAAAATATTTGTGAAGTTTCTGAATCTGAAAGCTCCTGGTAGCCTTCATGACTAATAACTCTGAATAAATCCATTTATATTGCAGTGCTAGTTCAAAGTACACAAATGTTATCTAAAATATACTTAGTACAGCATCTCTGTCATACTTTTTGAGGGAAGAGGGATTTCTGTGCTAATCATTTTTAGCAAAAGCAGCAATAGAAATTTGGATAAAGATTAATAAATTGTGTTGTAATGGATAGTGGAATAACTAATGGAATAACCTCTGTATTGTGAGGCAAAAATTCTGTAAGTAAGTTAATTGTTCCATTAATAAGTTTTTGTCTATTGATCTTGAATTGACTGTCTATCAGTTTTATAGTATAAGGCAAAGTTCTGATCTCAGTCCTTTCAAAGTAGGGGACAGGAGTTAATATGTTACTTTTAAATGTGCAAATATTCTAGATTAAATCAAGATTTAGATCTTGGTTGCCTTGGTCCTAAGTCTGTGAGCTCTTTACTCTATCTTCCAGCAGGGGGCTCTATAGACTTCAAGTCAAAATTGTAAACTTTGCTAAATTAGTGGTCCCTCATTCATTATAGTAGTTTAAATGAAATTTGTTGTATCTGGTGTGAATGGAACAAATGCATAATTTTTATTCAACTTATTAATTCATTCGATCCTCATTGTAATGCATCCCTTCTGAATCAGTATGGTAAAATTTGTCAAGATGTATGAAGATTTGAGGAAACTATAAATCCAGGGTCAATGGAAGGTGACCATCATCTGGCCTGTTCATTATCAACTAAAATGAATCCAATAAGTTAAACTCATTGGTTGAAATAATGATCAATCAATTGTGTTGGTATCCAATTCCCAAAAAGTGTATATGACAATTAACTTACGATTAACAATTAATTTAAGCCCAGTATTCTTCAATAGCTTCAGGGGTGGTATTCAGCAGGTTCTGACCAGTTCTGGAGAACTGGTAGTGGAAATTTTGAGTAGTTTGGAGAACTGGCAAATACGACCTCTGACTGGCTCCGCCCCCATCTATTCTCTGCCTCCCAAGTCCCGGCTGATCAGCTGGGTCTTCTTTTGTTGCCCTGCACAGGAAAACAAGCTGGAAAGCAGGTTAGTGGGGTAGGGGGTGGGGGAATGGGATTTTGCAGTAACCTTCACCCAGGAGTGAGGTGGGGATGGGGATTTTGCAGTATCCTTCCCCTTCCACGCCCACCAAGCCACACCCACCAAGCCACGCCCACAGAACCGGAAGTAAAAAAAATTGAATCCTACCACTGAATAACTTCATAAATTATTTAGATGAGGGAATAGAAGGGAAACTCATCAAAATTTGTAGAAGACACTAAGGTGGCAGGAATAGCCAACACCCCAGAAGACAAGCTCAGGATCCAAAAAGATCTTGACAGACTTGAACAACGGACTCTATCCAACAAAACTGAAATTTTATCCACCACTGAAATTCAATGGTGAGGAAAAAAAGCAAGGTTTTACACCTAGGCAGGAAAAATCAAAGGTATAAGTACAGATTAGGCGAAACCTGGCTCAAAAACAGTAACTTTGAGAGGGACCTTAGAGTCCTAGTGGTAGATCACTTAAATATGAGCCAGCGGTGTGCAGCTGCCGCCAAAAAAGTTAATACAATCCTTGGTTGTAGAAATAGAGTCATAGAATCAAAATCACGTGAAGTATTAGTACCACTATGTAAATCCTTAGGAAGACCCTACCTGGAATACTGCATCCAGTTTTGGTCACCATTACAAAAAATATGTTGTGACTTGGAGAAAAAGTGCAAAGAAGAGCAACTAAGATGATTAAAGGCCTGGAGACAAAAATATATGAAGAACGGTTGCAGGAATTGGCTATGGCTAGTCTAGAGAAAAGAAGGACTAGGGGTAACATGATAGCAGTATTCCAGTATTTG